TATATATATATATATATATATATATATATATATATACGCAAAGAAAGAATGAAGTATTTTATGCAAATAATTCAAGGCTATTATTGGAATCGGGTTGTATCGTTGACGATACGAAGACTAATTAGATCAAAAACACGATGAACGACTGACGCTGCACTATCCACTAATGAAAGAAAATAAAAAGTCAGCAATAAAAGCCAACAATAATATAAGAAAACATCCTGACTTGTAACTAAAAGTAAAATAGTTGGAGAATAACGGTGCAGAGCTTATAAGTAGGTGGAAATAACTACGGCAACGGTAATGACAACAGTTAGAGCACTGTAGTATTGCCTAAGCAATTAGTAAACTCGCATTTTTCTAGCTCCTAGGTTTGAAATTCCACTTTAAAGTTTTGCAATCGATTTCTAGAACGACAATCGAATGTCAGGAAAATATGATTCAAACTTAGAATTACCTTTAGGAACCAAGCTCAATAAACTATCGGTAACCTAACGAAGAGAAAAAGTTATTGTTAAGAAAAACGACCTTTCTAATAGCAGCTTCCAGATTTTTGTCTGTTAATTCAAATTTCTGACAAGCACTCAACGGATAACGCTCGGGTTTACAATTAAATTTAAGTGGAAAAGCGTCCACCATTGCAAATTTCTTCTTCAATTCACGGATCTGAAATCATGTGTTTCGTAAGCATTTCATAACCAACACCATATTCATGAATATCAGTTGACAAACATACAATGGCTATTGATTTCATGCAAAATATCTTGCTTTGGCTTATTCAAGATACATCACAGGAAATCATCAGGAGCATGTTAACAATCTAGAAAATGATTTCAAAGCAGATGCACATGTTTAACAATCACGAAGATCAAATTCATTCCAAACATCACTATTGAAGAAGTAAAAGGAACGATTCCCACCACTCAGCTTTTAGAAAAGTCACCTTCAATTTCACACAAATTTAAAGTAGCAATGAATTGCAATACTTATGAATCTCATGAAGAAATTACTTCTAGCAAAGTAAGCAGTAAGTTGATAAAGCCTATGACTTGAATTGCGTACCCACTAACTTCAATTTTTTTCACTAATTCATTCAATTTCATCAAAGCTAACCACAACTGGCCATTCTGAATGATTCGGCATACTGAGCCAGACAACTTCACCAATACCCCAAACATGTGGTGCGCTTGCATTGCTTGCCGTATCGCCGCTACTTGCTGCATCACTGTCTTTCTTAGTCTTCTTTACAAGGTCACCCAGAACGCTCTGTTTATTGATTTCACTCGCTTTAAACGCCGACAATTCTTCTGGAGAAATGATTGTTATGAGCATTGGCAAATCGCTCTTGAATTAACATGTTTTCAGGTTGAAAGTACAATCATCTATCTGAATGTTCCGATTCGTCAGACAAATCTCCTTTTATGCATTTATTCGGGGGCTGATAAACATTCACATCATTTTTCAGCTATGAGAATTAATTATTGCCCGTAAAGTAACATAATTTGAAATATGACTCACCCTCATTTCACAGTAACGCTTTTTTAATCCAGTGACAAGTAGTCAACAACATTTTTTACAAAAAACTCGTATAAAGAAGGAAAAAAATCTCAATCTCTTTATCTCCTTAAATTTCAAACTGAATTTAAAACACAGACTGCACCTGACATCTGATGATCCGCACCTAAAAGTCCACTTTTTTTCAATATTTCAAGCGCTGCTTTGTAGGCTTCCTTCATGTCATTTTTTGCTCCAGCAGGTAACTATAACAGATAAGCATGATTTCAACAGCAATCATCGAGTTATAAAAGATTAATCAATCCAGCAATTTAAAAGGAAAACTAACAGATTCATTGCCAGTTAAAAGTCGAAGCTTTTGCGGCGGACAACTGAAAATTGACGACTTTAAATTTGAGCTTTCGTTAATTGGCAAAAATGTATACGTGACTTTTTTCGGATAGACGCAACGAACCTGAAATTTACTACCTACTTCACGCTGTTTTCAATCTTTGAACAGCAGAAAAACAAATGAAATTTAACAAAGGAACAAATCATCTGTCAACATTAGAATTACAACAAAAACAAACCAGCGCTGGCCATTCTGGAAAACGTCGATACGGAGCCCAAACTACATCGCCAGTCTTCAGATCAGCTACAAAAAAAAGCTTTCAAAAAAAAAAGCTTTTAATCCAAATTTTCATTACCCTGAAGAATAACTTTGCGAAACTGAAGCGTGCAAAGAGGCACTGAAGACAGATCATATTTCGTATCCATCTTTTATGCTCGAAGCATAAAAACTGTGCTTTAAATGCCACTACGACATTCCATGACGCTTATTTTAAAAGCTACTAACACCAAATGAACAGTATTAATGATAGTGTACAAAAGTTGAAGAAATACATATATCAGGACTGAATCATTTGTCACATGCAAAAGGCATAGATACACATACATATATATATATATTATATTATATATATATATATATATACATATGTATATATATATATATATATATATATATATATATATATATATATATATATATATATATATAT